AACCCTCTTGGTTTTTTCTTCAGCAACAGCAAGTGGAGAACACAGACCCTATAGTGATAGTGGAAATCTAATGTGTTTCTTTGGACTACACTTTCCTGTCAAATCACGTTGTTATTGTCATGCACAGATAAACAGTGCAGCCACATTTACCTGTAATGAAATTCCTTTGCTCGTGCTCATCAGCTTTACATGAAAATATATATGAGTGTGTAGTTGTATTAAAGAAGAAAATAACCATAATAATAATAAAACTAAAAATAACTAACAAAACTGTGATGGACCGAGTTGAAAAAGTAGGAAGAGTCACAGGAATTATTGGAAAAATAGGGTTGCCATTTATTTAACCCAAAAATTATATTTGCAAAAGTAATACATTTGAGCTCAGAAAAGAGGTCAAAGAAACAAAACTGAACTCCAAAACCAAATGACTGCCCTAACAAACATAAATGATCTAAACATGAACTGACACACAAGGGTATATATCAGGGGTCCCCAAACCCAGGCCTTGAAGGCCAGTGTCCTGCAGGTTTTACATGTGTCCTTGATCCATCACAGCTGATTTAAATGGCTAAATTACCCCCTCAACATGTCTTGAAGTTCTCCAGAGGCCTGGTAATGAACTAATCATTTGATTCAGGTGTGTTGACCCAGGGTGAGATCTAGAACCTGCAGGACACCGGCCCTGGAGGCCTGGAATTGGGGATCCCTGGTATATATATATAATGGCTGATCAGACCACTATAACACAGGAGGGATAACTAAACAAAACACAATTGTAAACAAACAATACAAACACTACAGTCTGGTTTATTAATAAACTAAACATCAAAGAAGAAAATCAAAACTACTAAACCCCACCCATATGGAAAGATATATATAAATCTTATAAAGTTTGTATCTGTCTTGTATGAAACTTGTATGAAACGCATACAAAAGTGAAAACAGATATAAGATCCCTTGAAAAATTATATAATGAAACTTGTATGTTTTGGATACTTACTAAAACAATGTATGAAAGTAATGAGAAAGTGGCCACTTTCATGAGTAAATCATATATGTTTTTACTATTTCTTTTCCATATGGGCAAACTCAATATTTAATTAAATACAAATACTTTGTTTTTAATGAAAGAAAACACGCATTCTACATTTCAACAGGAAATGGTGGTGCGATCCACTTATCCCTCTTTGCTTTTAATAGTTTCAAACCCTGGCCACCACCTTTTGTCTGGCAACTCGTTATATCATGGCAGATAAGTAGTAAAAGAAACAAAGGTTAGTCAAAAATCAAAGTAATGAACTGGTATGAATACCTAAGTAAACTAAATGTGCACGCTTACAAATAGAACAAATGTATCCAAACCAATCAATAAACTTATTGGAAACTAAAGTGTGTTATTGACAACACAATAACTTATTGTGTTCTAACAAAGGATTGAAAATACAAGAGTTACCGACTTTACAGTGTGGCAACTATGGGTTTGGCCATCACAAAAACACTAAAGTATTAATATTAAGAGAATTTGAGACAATTGTTTGGTATTCACAGTTTTGTATTTACAGTTGTGCAAAAACAAACTTGTGCAGTGAGAGTTTAAAGTGGTTTAAAGTGACAGTGTGTAGAGTCCAGTAGTTGCAGTGAGTGCATAATGGTGTGTATAGAATGTCAGCAGTTCAAAAGTCTGATGGCTTGTGGGTAAAAACTGTCTCTTTGTCTGGTAGTGCGGGCCTGAATGCTTCTGTATCACCTTCCAGACGGCAGGAGTGTGAAAAGTCTGTGGCTGGGATCAAAGAGGATCTGCTGCGTCTTCCTCACGCAGCGCTGTCTGTAAAGATCCTGCATGGCTGGCAGTTCAGTCCTGGTGATGCGCTGTGCTTATCTCACCACCCTCTGCAGAGATTCAGAGCATTACAGCTGCCGTAGCAGGTGGTGATGCAGCCAGTCAGAATACTTTCAATGGTGGCTCTGTAGAAGTTTGTAAGTATTCTGGGGTTCATGCCGAATCTTCTCAGGCGCTGTAGGCAGAAGAGCTGCTGTCTCGCTGCTTTTGTGATCACACCAACATGGTGTGACCAGCTCAGATCCTCGCTGATGTTGATGCCCAGGAATCTGAAGCAGCTGAGTCTCTCCACCTCTGCTCCTTCGATGTGGATGGAGGTGTGGCCTCCTCTCTGCAGTCTCCTGTAATCCACAATGAGCTCCTTGGTTTTGCTGATGTTAAGCAGCAAGTTGATGTCGGGGCTCTCACCTCTGCACTGTATGCGGCCTCATCTCCATCAGAAATGCAGCCGATGATGGTGGTGTCATCTGCAAATTTCATGATGGCTTTCTCTTTTATGTAGTAAAAATGAGGTTGTTTCATTTTCACTGCAGTGCTGGGACACTCATATTAATTGATCTGTCAGTGAACACTTTGAGTAATGTAACTGCTGACAGCAAAGGGCAATGCTCTCAGAGTCCAAATCCATGAGTGGCTGTCTACCTTTGTGTTAGCAAAGTGTTTTGTTTTTTTGTTTTTTTCAATATTTCATTTTGCTAATTTTTTCAAAAAGTGTTACAAAATGTGTATTTTGACAAAACTTGAGTTTTCTTTGGTTGTGAATTTAATTTGTCTTTTGAATGTGTGCCACTGCCACATCTTTGTTAAACTGGTCTGGTCTGAAATTATGAAAATAAAGATTATTCAGGTTTTTAAAAATATAACTCTCTGCTTCTTAATTCAGACAAAACTGAGGTAATTGTACTCAGTAGGGGTGCAACAATACACAAAATTCACGGTTCGGTTCGATGCTTTGGTGTAACGGTTCAATATTTTTTCGATACAAAAAATGTTCATGCCTTTTTAATTTGTCATTTATTAAAATTATAAATATATATTTTAACTCAAAAGTACAATTTTTTAAATTTAATGTTGCTGAAACAACAAAATAAAAATAAAAAAATCTGTCTGATAGAGAAATCACTCATCTTTGGAAAAGAGAGTTTATTACAGAGAAATGGCTCTTTCCAAAATAAAAGCTATACTATACGCTTCTTCTGGGCTATATTCTCAGCAGCATATTAAACATATCAGGTCCCCATAAGGAGAATTGTGTGCTAACGGCTGTCTAAATGACTCAGGTAAAGTTTGTAGCATGCATGCTTGTTGCTTTTGTCTGCTTCCACTTGTCTTTGCACTAGGATGATGCCAGTGTAAATGTGCCGTCATATTTGTTGTGTTCCCACTAGTGCTGCCAGCATTAATCTCGTTAAAATGACGTTAAAGCCACAACGCGGCAAATCTCCGTTAACGAGTTACCGCGGATCGCCCTGGGGGGCTGGGGGGCGTCAACACGTTAATAAGCTAGCTGCGCTAACGCAGTAGTTCCCACCAATTGAGCATTGCGTGGCACATCCAACATACTATTTTACTTTTGTCCATGACGCGCTTACCTTCAGGGTCATGCTTCACATGAAAACCAAAATAGTTCCAAACGCCAGATCTGAATGAGGGTGGGGGAGGTTCAATTTGCCATGTTGCAATGAGAGCTTAGCTTCTGTCTTGCTAGCTTGCGCTGCGCTCAGTGGATCTGCACTCGACAGTGCAGCCTAGGCGGAGTAGTCGAACGCAGATTCACTGAGCGCTCAACACAGACAGCATCGTCAGAAGAAAAGTTGATAAAATAAATTAAAAATTTTGTATTGTTCATACATATGCGTACCGAACCGAAAGCACTGTATCGAACAGTTCAATATCGATACGAGTATTGTTGCACCCCTAGTACTCAGCCCTGAAAATCTTAGAACTATGGTATCTAACCAGATTCTTACTCTGGATGGCATTACCTTGGCCTCCAGTAACACTGTGAGGAACCTTGGAGTCATTTTTGACCAGGACATGTCCTTCAATGCACACATTAAACAAATATGTAAGACTGCTTTCTTCCATTTGTGCAACATCTCTAAAATTAGAAACATCCTGTCTCAGAGTGACGCTGAAAAACTAGTTCATGCATTTATTACTTCTAGGCTGGACTACTGTAATTCATTGGAGGTTATGATAGGGGACAGCAACAGGGACACAGTTACTAATCCCAGTCCCTCTCTACCCTGACTCTAACCCTAATATAGGCACCCAGCCTCCCCTCCTAACACAGCACTCACCTACCTTGCTGTCTTCACTGTCAGCAACACTAAAACAGCTAACAGCACTTTAAAGCGCTGTAAAGCCACAAGCTTGTTTGCTCTTTCACAAACTTCTTCTTTCACCACTATGATGTTGATGGTTGCCTGATATTCTCGGTTGGATCAATATTACAAGGTAACCTGTGTGAGTGTGTGGTAAGATTCCTCTATAATTTTCAGAATATTCTGACTGAAACGTTATAATACTGTAACACTCATGTATCCTGTGTTCACACATACTCAGTTGTCCAAGTAAGGTTCAGGTGAACTGCAGCTTTAAGTGTCCTAAATGATGTGATGATGTGTGAGTGTAACCCCTGTGAGAAGGTGGCTCACAGGTAAGCTGCAGAGCCTTGTTCACATGGACGTGTTTAAATAAAGTTAGAAAAGGTTTCATTTCTTAATGTGAAGCACAGCTGGAACATCTGGAAGATGCCGAGCATCAGCTGTAGATCCAGAGTCACAGTGACCTCTGCCTGTACACATTTTTTGTTAAAGGTAAAAGATGAAAATATTTAAAATAGAAAATGACTCTCATGACCCTGAAATCTCTTTTTTTATGATGACATCACATCCCACAGCTGCTTGTGATGCTAGCACTGACCTGCTGTTACAAGTATATAACAAACATTACAGACATGTAAAAACACAGAAAATATGTGAACCTGAAAAGTGATCTGAGATTTTATGTGTTAATCTACAATCTTTGACCCGCTTACTCAAATTTGAACCCTGCTAGCTTCATTTTTATTAAAATCAACAGAAATGGTTTTCTTTGTAACAGTTTAAATTAATATGTAAAAGTGTATCTGAGCAGAGACCTGGACATAAACTTCTTCATGGTTTATAATTTAATACCTAACAGAAAGGTATGAAGGGCCCATTTGTTAAGGTTGTGCAGTTCTGAAAGCACATGGATCAAGTCCACATTCAGCGGGCTGAAGTATGATGTAACAGCGGTGCATTGATCCTGATTAATTAGAGGATGATCACTGCAGTTCCAGGCGCAGCTCGCACAGAGCAGACAGGTACTCTTCATTGTCCTTGTCACAGTTCAGAGCTTTCTCATAAAACTCAGCAGCTTCCTTCCTGTTGCCCTCAGCTCTGGCCACCTGACCCAGCAGAGCGAGAGCTTCGCCATCACCCGGATTCCTTGACAGACGTCTCTCAGCGATCTTCTTGAGTTTCTGCAGGAAAGATGGAGGAACAAAGACAGATGAATTTCTGTGGATTTAGAGAAACTGACTTTTATTTTCAGTGACTTTCTCAGACCAGGATTAAAAAAATATTTAATGTCTAACTGAAGACATATGAGTACAGCAGCTCCCAGCCTTAAACCACAGAACAGGACTGATTCATGCTGGTTGGCAGGTGAGAGAAAGGACAGCTGTGGAAACAATCCAGACTCCACTCCCTCAGTACTGTGTTGAGACGATGTGTGGAAACAGGTACACTGAGTGTGCTTTATCAGATTACAGCCAGGGTCTGTATGAAGGTGCAGGAGAGCCAGTCCCTGTTCAGCAGGTGGGAGGTTTCTCAAAATACTCGCAAACACCTTGTTTGTGTTAGTGAATTTTGGCCCTACACAGAGATAAAGGAGTAATCCTTTGATGGACAAATCAAATATCACATACAAAGTTTTCTGCAAAGGAAGGAGTCTAAAATCATCTTCCACCACCTGGAAGCTGAAAGCTTCCACCTGACAGATTAGCCTCCCTCTGACTTCACATCCTGCTAATGAAAATGGTCCAGAGGTGCAGCAGACAGGAGACTTGGTCTCAGTAAATTTTGACCATAAGCCACTGATTAGACTTTAATCACATAACCTTTAGCGCTCACCTTAGCACAGAGTTTCTTCTCATATTTCTTCAGTGGTATCAGGAGACCCTGCAGACAGGACACAGGAGGCAGATTAATAACACAGATATAACTGATTGGTCATTAATAACATTCAAGTGTGAGTGTGTATGTTCTGATTGTTTACTGCCATGTGGCCCTCTGGATTTGGGCTCATTTAGCCTGAATTCCTATTTTAGAGCAGGGGTGTCAAACTCATTTTACATGGTGGGCCAGATGCAGCCCACTTTAATCGTAAGTGGGCCGGATCAGTGAAACATATTTAACTGTTTCCTACATGATGAAAGAAAGGGACCTGTGACAAAGAGGCAAATCTGTAATAGGATCATTTCATTGTTTAGTACCTAATTGCTTTGTGTGAATGGCCATAAGGGAGGTTTTTATCAGCAGTAAAAACTGTAACACTGAAAACACAGTTAAAAGTCCAGAATTTCTGCTTGTGCTTGTTTGTGGTGATCGGCAGATCAAACAAGTTAAGAATTATAAATGGCGTCAAGCGCACATTCAGGCCTGTGAAACTCTTTTAGGCAACGTCCACACTGGCCTGGATAGATTTGAAATGGTGTTTTCTTCTGAAAACGCTCTGCGTCCACACTATCGTTTTCAGTCGTTTTCACAGGGTTGCGCGTCCACAATGAAATGGCCAAAAACACTTATGTTCCTGTACTGTACAAGCACCTCTTAACCAACCTTGGTGTAGTGAACGATGGCTTGAGCTTCATTTCTTTTGTGATGGTAATGAAAGTCACCAAAGCGCTGATGGATAGCTTGAGAAAGGCTTTCATCACACTCTGGTAACTTCACCAAGCACTGCTGGAAAATCTCCTCTGCCCTGAGAAACAAAGAGATGATCGTGATGATGACAAACATGCGCCGAGCAAAAAGACAGGAGTCACTGCTGCTTTCCACAGAGGAGTACCTTCTGAAATTCCTTTCCTCTGCATACAGCAGTGCCAGGTCAGCCCACGCAAGATGAAAGGACGGCTTTATCTTAACAGCCATTTCAAATTCACGAATACAACAGCGCCTCCAGCACCGCACCTCTCCTGTGGAGCCAGAAATCATGGTTTATCTCTGAGTTTGGGGATAACTGGGCCTTTAGACATGCAGTATGTTTGAGCGTACTTTGGTTGCTGAAGGGCTTGTGGCTCTGCTCAGCAATCTTCTTCCTCTTGTAGCACAGCGCCAGCTGGTGGTGGATGAAAGATGACTGGGTGGTCCTCTTCAACGCTCGCTCCAACAGATCAATAGACTCGTCCAGTTGATGCTGAAACAACATTTAATGTCATTTTCACAAAAATTAGTAAAAATCTAAAGAAGAATGCCTCAATCCTGGAAGAAGCACCTCAACAATTACTGAATCTCCCGGAGGAACCCAGCCGAGGGATTAATAAAGTTTCATCTAATCTAATCTGATCTAATCTAATCTGATCTAACAATTTAGTGGAAACATTAACTTCCTCTGTCTTCACTGAAGGAAGGAACTCAGAACCACTAAATTAAGCATAACAAACTTTAGTAATCTGTCTTTTCAGTCTCAAGCCTGATTCAGGTCACTGGTCAGAATAAAATAATAAAGATTTTACTATTTCTGAATCAGGAGAATTCAGGAAGGTGAAAGTACAGATAAAAGGACAGAAACAGATCAGAATTAGAGAATGGGAAACCCAGCCCAACCAGCATGGCTCATTTAAGAAAAGGCCAAGTTAGTCTTTAACAACGATCACAGATAATCTAAAATCTCCGTGGAAGCTAAAATGTACAGAGCTGCACATCTTTGACAGCCTTCTTTGGAGCTGATGTAGGGTCAGGGTGCATGCTTTACCATCTTTAAATAAAAGATCTTCATGGACCTGTGCACTGACTCTTATATTACATGACCCTGGAAGAATCACATTATCTGTGGTTGCATGAGTAGTAAGCACTTACAATATCCAAATTCAGACTTACATGATTACGAAAGTATTTTCCTACGTAGCGGCTGACATGAGGGTTATCAGGATCAGTTTTCAGTGCTTTCTTCAGCAGACCCTCAGCCTCTTTGTATTTCTTATAGGCTCCAAGCTTCACGGCCAGCATGGACTGCAGAACAGCATCATCGGGGTTGAGCTCCAGGGCAAAGTGAAGCTGTTTGATGGATGGAGGCTCCTCAGTTTCCTGTAAATTTTCTAAAACCCACTGCAGATGAGAAACTGGTTAGTCTACTGTGAACTGCTGAGAACCACACCCCAATGAATTGCTGGGGTTTTTTTTTAGAAACTGATAAATTGGCTGTTTTTTAGAACAATATAAACATAATAAATTTATTAACTGATATCAAACTTATAAAACTGACCTCTTCTGTGCGAAAGAGGGCGATGGCGTAGCCAGCATTCCACTCAATGTCATCAGTCTGTATCTCAAGTGCTTTACGAAAACTGTCAACGGCTTGTAAGTAGTAAGATTTTGACAACTTGAGGTAGGTCCAGGCTTGTTCTCCGTAGACCTCTGGAAGGAGACTTGCTGATGAACCAGTGGGATATTTCACCTGCAGAGGGAGAAGGTTCAGCTGCAGTCAGAGGTTCAGAAGCATGTGATCTATAACATTTGATCTGATTGGTGTACATACCAGTATGTCCTCGACTTTCTTACAGTAGCTTTGTGACTGTGCAAAGTCTCCAGCATGATATTTCAGCCAGGCCATGTCTCCATACGTCACAATGAGCCGCCTCTCACTCTCATCCCCATGACGCTCCCTGATGGTCTCCTCTGATTGGTTTAAAAGTGACAGCGCTTCCTCTCGTTGATTCTGAAGATACCTGAGGACCATCAACACATGCTTATAATTAAATCATGTTTTTCTGGAATCATACTTCAGATGTCTACACCTGGCCTGGTCTTCAATAACAGCCCTGCAGCAGGTCTTTATTTGTTGACATTTAGCTAAGGTTCTAGACCCCATGGGTGTTAAGATAAATACTCTACCTGCATTTCCACCAAAATAATCATGCAAACAAGTTTTAGGAGGCAGATTTATATTAAGATCGTACCCACATACAGGATAGGTGGGTACTGTCAGGAAATTCAGCCACAACAACTGACTGATACAATCCATACTGTTTGAGATCAGTTCATATCATGGATCACCACTTCTACTGTCTCCTGGAGTGCTGACTATCTGTCAGAGAGGTCTCAGTTTGTCTGTTGTGGTGATTAGTAATACTGGGGCACCAGAGGGGGCAGTCCTATCACCATTTCTGTTTACCTTGTGCTCCTCAGACGTCCAGTGTAACAGTTAAACATGCTACCTGCAGAAGTTCCCTGATGACACTACAGGGGTTGGGTGTATTATGGAGTACAGGGAGCTTGTGAGGAACTTTGTAAAGCGGTCCAAAATAAATCTCCTCTCTTTGAATGTCAGCAAGACAAAACAGATTGTGGTTGACCTCCAGAGGAAAAAAAACTGTGACTAGGTTCATCCACACGATCATCAGTGCCAGAGATGGAGCAGGATCAACAAACTAATCCGTAAGAGTGGAAATATCATTGGTTAGAATCTGGAGGTGTTTGAGACATGGAGGGTCACAGGTCACTGAACAAACTGCTCTCCATCATGGACAACCACTCTATCTATCTATCTATCTATCTATCTATCTATCTATCTATCTATCTATCTATCTACCTACCTACCTACCTACCCACCCACCTACCCACCGACAAGATCAGCCTGTTGCTATGTTGCTGGCAGTTGCATCTCGCCAGTAGTTAAATTAGTTAAATTACCCAAAAGTAATTTTGCCCACTGCTGTGGAAACTGTACCTGACATAAGCCAAGAAGCTGTATGATCGAGCCACTGCCCCGCGCTGGCCGAGCTGCAGTTTTATGTGGTCCTGTAGTCGAGTGCTGAGGTTCTTCAGGTCCACGTCCTTCTTCAGATCCCAGGTGAAGTGACACTGCAGCTGCTGCAGCCTCCTGAGCAGAGCGCTGCTACCTTCACTTTAAGATGATCACAATGAAAAACAAACTAAGTTACTTTTGCATGTCAGAGACTGCACTTTGTTTGTTTTTACTTTAATCTGTACTTCAGCTTTTACTGGAGTATTTTTAACACTAGTACTTCTACCACCTCGCCTAGTAGTAGTAGTGCCAATATGTGTAGTATTTAGGGTAGTTTTCGAAAGTCGGAAATCAGCTGTGAAGCTAATGCGAACTCACGTCATGTTACAGGAAACAGTCCTCCTCTTCCTCAGAGTACACACCGATGAAGATGAAGAAACGATTATGCGCCGACTGATCGGTCACTGAGTGGTCGTTCAGTGAGAAACGCTGACCTCAGATCAATCATTTACAGATCAATGGCTGATCAGTGATCTTTGGTGACGCTCTCAGCTGAGATGCAGAAACGAAACCTAACGTTCCCTCGTGGTGCCTTCAAGTACCTCTCATATAAAACAGAAAGCCCAGCCTTCTCGTCGGAAAGCTTTCCTCCTTTCTAAAATATGCGCCTTCCGTCTCCTAACATAGTTTATATTTATGGCCATTAAGTTCTCGAGAGGACAGGAGAGGAGAGGATGAGCGATCTGAGCCATCAGCCTTTTACCTGTTTTCAGCGAGGCCCTGAAGGCACCACGAGAAGTGTGTGTGGTTTGTGTGACAAAGGTGACAGCTTCACAGATCGGTCCACGAACTCTTCGTGTTCAGTCATCACTTTGCTGAGTCTGAGGAGGAGGTCTCTGTTTGCTCCAACATGAGGTCAGTCTGCCAAACCTTTGATAAATAATCGGTCATTTATCACAAATTGAACCACCTGAGTGGACTTTAAATGCAGCAGTAGTTTAGTTTACCTGGCGCTCAGGTGCACGCAGAGGGATACAAAGTAACACAGTCTGTCTACCTGTGCATGTAACAGGGGACTGATATCAGAGGAAGAGGAGAAAGTGGACATTAACAAATTATAAACCTTGTATGTGAAAATAATAACTGGTGCTGCAGTAATCAATTATTTTATTAATCAAATAGTCTATCAGTTATGTAATTGATAAATCAAATAAGAAATACTTTTGTCTTATTAATGAGTAATAATAAATATTTAAACGAGAAAAACAAAAATGTGTTTTTATAATGAGCTGCTCGTTGGTTTCATATTTTTGAAATGTTAATGTTTGATTAACGGATATATGACATCACTGTTTTTACAGCCACAATAATATGGTCTGTTATCACACACACACACACACACACACACACACACACACACACACACACACACACACACACACACACACACACACACACACAGAGAGAGAGAGAGAGAGAGAGAGAGAGAGAGAGACATTCACATTATATGTGTTTAAAGATAATGTTCTGATCATTATTGAGCATATTTAACTATCCAGTAAATTCACACATGAATCAGAATTTTATTATTGTTCAAAAGTACAATGACGAGTTAGAGACGCCCATCGTTATCTTCTCAAACTCAGACATGAGTAAAAAGGTTGATGATGGATCATCTTGAGGTGACTCCCTTGTTACTTGCACTTTAACCTCGGGACTCTGACCCTTCAGTTCTTGTGCAGTCAACCTTTTATTTGTTGTTTCATGATCATGCATAGAGTCTTTGTACAGTGGCTGAACAGTGTCAAGCAAACAGTCTCAGGTCCTGGAGAGCAATGCATGGCACTGCACTGAGGAGTGCACAGAGTGCTGCACACTTAGTGCTGCTTGGAATGCACTTCATTCATTCTACTACCAGCCTAAACTTCCCAAAATCCACACACTTAAGCCCTGTTTGCTCACAACTACCTAGCATGTACACACAAGTCCATGTTCCTGTTTACCTTCTTCAGTGCTCACCTCTTCAACAATATTAATTCCAGACCATGAACACTGGTAACTGGAAAAACACGGGCAACTGATGCATCTAACATCACTAACTAGACATCTTAACACTGGAATGTGCTCAAATGAGTTAAACGAGAACAAATTGTGTGGTCTCATATCCAAAAATATTTTACAGAACAATATCAAAAATATTCCACAAGTACAAACCTGTGTATCACAACATTAGCTGTCCCCTAACACAAACTCTGTGTTTGTGTCTCACTCCACATCTAAGGTTTCTTCTTGTTCCTCAGTGTGAGATTCAAACCACAGGTCTGCTTCACATCACTGATTTCACTGATTGGTTGATCACACAAAGTGAATTTTCTCAATGAGAGGAGCTGGGAGGTCTGGGTGAGCTGACATGTGCTGGTCGTACAAACAGGATCCTCAGGTGTGTCAGAGCACTGAGTGAGCCTCGGTTCAGCCAGTCCTGGTTTGATGCTCTCCCTCTGATGCTCCTCACAGCGTTTTCTTTGTGACTCTCTTACAGTGAAGGTAGCAGCGCTCTGCTCAGCAGGCTGCAGCAGTTGCAGTGTCACTTCACCTGGGATCTGGACCTGGACGTGGACCTGGAAACCCTGAGCACTCGACTACAGATCGACATAGATTTTCATCAGCGTCAGCATGAGGGAGAGAGTTGCACCTACAGCCTCTTGGCTTATGTCAGGTACAGTTTCTGGAGCTGTCTGATGAAGGAAAAGCTAAAGTGGATTTATTCTGCTCATTCAAATCTCAACGCTTTTATTTCTGGGACTCTGCTAGAAAAAGAGAAGAACTAACATTAGCCAGAAGAAAGACAGTTTTTCTCACTGAAGTCCGTCTGACCAAAGAGAAATTTGACCGTCAAAGGAAACAGCAGGATCTATATTTGAATGATAGAGAGATAGTTTTGTTTTCAGGATCAGATCCAACCCTGAGCTGTGTTTCTTCTGCTAATGTTACCTACCAGCATAGCAAAGTTACAGCTAGAAGAAAAACGTCAGCTTCCTTTACGTTTACTTCATTATTTCAACCTTAATAGATACACGTGATAGGAAGAGAAACATTATTGGAGTATTGGACTAGAGTTTCTGATTCTTTAAGAATCTTGATATAAATCTGTTTCCTGAAGCTTGTTTTGACTCTTGTTTTTCTGGTGGAAATGCAGTAATTATCTAACCCTGGAGTCATGAACCTCAGATAAAAACCTAAATGAATCATCAACAAGTGTTAGTCTCAAGTAAGTTTCTTGTCAGGTGTTGTAAATGCCTCGTAGTTAAACCCCAGTTGTAGAACAGCTGTTGATGACCTGTTGGTCCTCAGGCATCTTAAGGATCAACGAGAGGAAGCGCTGTCACTTTTAAACCAATCAGAGAAGACCATCAGGGAGAGATACGGTGATGAGAGTGAGAAGCGGCTGATTGTGACGTATGGAGACATGGCCTGGCTGAAATATCACGATGGAGACTTTGCACAGTCACAAAGCTACTGTCAGAGAATCGAGGACATACTGGTATGTAAACCAATCAGATCAAACATGATGATCACTGCTGTTGAACCTCTGACGCTTCCTTCTCCCTCTGCAGGTGAAGTATCCCACTGGTTCATCAGGAAGTTTGCTTCCAGAGGTGTATGGGGAACAAGGCTGGGCCTATTTCAAGGTGTCGAGGTCTTCTATATCAAAAGCCATCGACTGTTTTCGTAAAGCACTTGAGGTACAGCCTCATGACACCGAGTGGAACGCCGGCTACGCCGTTGTCCTCTTTTGCGGAGAACAGGTCAGTTTTATGATAAGAATGAAGAGTATTTGGATAGACAGCACCAAATGATAAACTAAAGGCTTCTTCAGTGGCATCGGTTGCTTCAGCGTCAGTATGATTTTTAGAAGTTTCAATGACTGATTTTTTTATTCAAGTGAAATAAACTGTAGACTAACCAGATTCTCATCTGCAGTGGTTTGCAGAAAATAAACAGGACGGGGAGGAATCCAAAGCCACCAAACAGCTTCGCTTTGCATTGGAGATCAACCCAAATAACGCTGCTCTGCAGTGCATGCTGGCCATGAAGCTGGTGGCCTATAAGAAATACGAAGAGGCTGATGATCTGGTGAAGAAAGCACTAGAAAATGATCCTGATAACCCTCATATCCTCCGCCACTCAGGAAAATACTTACTCAATCAGGTAAGTCTGCAACTTTGGTCTTATAAATTCTTACTTCTGCTCACTGGGTCTTGGGCCCAGTAAGGGCCTCAATAACTGCCTTATTGAGGCCCTTATTATTTACTGCCTCAATAACCTCACGCCCGGTGATGGACAAATTGTTCCCTTCATCCCCAGACTCTGTTTCCTGTACTGAAGGTGTGTCAGTTGGATTAAGGAGCTCCTTAAAGTATTACTTCCACCACCCAACAATATCCTCAGTCGAAGCCAGCAGTGCTCTACTACACTATACACAGTGCAGGTAGAGCACTGCTTTCCATTTTGAGTAGTCTGACGGGCAGAGTGGGACTCAATTGAAAAAATTAATCTAACTAATAAGAGGTTTTGTGCTTAATTAATCTTGATTAATCACATTTAATCACACAAGAAAATTTGCCCCAAATTTAAAGGGTTTTAGTGAGCTGGGGTCTATCACACCAGGCAAGAGCCCAGGTGCAGGCTGTGTAAAGATTCTCCAGAGACAATCCAGCACATAACAGCAGGGTGTCTGTGAAGGTTCTCAGTCATCCAGGTCATCGTAGTCAAAGGAGCTTGCAAAGAAAAGCGTCTGGACTTCTTTAAGTTGCTTGAAGACGTTTCACCTCTCATCCGAGAAGCTTCTTCAGTTCTAAGGTCAAATGGTGGAGAGTCCCAGATATAAACCTAGTGGGAGTGACCCCCCACAGAGGGACAAAAGGACCCCCTGATGATCCTCTAATCACCTGAGCCAAGGTGTGAAACTGGGTGTGGGTCCCAATCAGCCAGAGTTTCGGGTGAGTTCATTGTGAAACCTGGCCCCACCTTATCATGTGATTTCCTGAGGTCAGATGGCCCAGGATGTGAGTGGGCATTAAGGCGTCTGGGAAGGGATCTCAAAACTGGATTATAGATGGCAGAGAGTTGGTGTCGTAAACCCCCGCCTCTGTTCAAAGATGGTCGCTCACAGTGGACATAGATGGCTTCTTTCACTCCTCTTTCAAATCATCTGTCCTCTCTGTCCAAAATGTGAACATTGGCATCCTCGAAAGAGTGTCCTTTATCCTTAAGATGCAGATGGATTACTGAGTCTTGTCCTGTGGAGGTGGCTCTTCTGTGTTGTGCCATGCGCTTGTGAAGTGGCTGTTTGGTCTCTCCAATGTAGAGGTCTGGGCATTCCTCGCTGCACTGTACAGCATACACCACATTGTTAAGTCTGTGTTTTGGCGTTTTATCTTTCGGGTGAACCAGTTTTTGTCTGAGCGTGTTGCTGGGTCTGAAATGCACCGGGATGTCATGCTTGGAGAAAACCCTCCTGAGTTTTTCTGATACACCGACTACATAGGGGATGACAATGTTGTTGCGTCTGTCCTTCTTATCCTCCCTCGCTGGTGTCTGGTCTTCTTTTCTGTGCCTCTTTGCTGAACAGCAGGGTGCAAGATGCTAGCAGGCAAGGCATACATGGAACGCCATAACCAAGTGGCCGGCATAGTGTACAGGAACATCTGTGCTGAATATGCCCTGGAAGTCCTGATATCAAATGGGAGACATCCCCTATGGTGGTGGAGAATGACCAAGTTAAGATCCTGTGGGACTTCCAGATACAGACAAACAAATTGGTGGTGGCTAACCAACTGGACATAGTGGTGGTAGACAAACATGAGAAGACGGCCGTAGTGATCGATGTAGCGGTTCCGAATGACAGCAATATCAGGAAGAAGGAACACGAGAAGCTGGAGAAATACCAAGGGCTCAGAGAAGAGCTCGAGAGGATGTGGAGGGTGAAGGTAACGGTGGTCCCCGTGGTAATCGGAGCACTAGGTGCGGTGACTCCCAAGCTAGGCGAGTGGCTCCAGCAGATCCCGGGAACAAAATCGGAGATCTCTGTCCAGAAGAGCGCAGTCCTGGGAACAGCTAAGATACTGCGCAGGACCCTCAAGCTCCCAGGCCTCTGGTAGAGGACCCGAGCTGCATTTTGCACCATCTGTAAACCTCTAAAACGTTTCTTTGGTAGCCCAGAAAGGAGAGTGTTACAATAATCGATACGTGAAGACACAGATGCATGGAGACGGACCTCTGCAGTGTTGCTTGATAAATGTTGTCTGAATTTTGGTATGTTCCTTAAATGATAAAAGGCAGTCTTTGTTGTCTCTTTTACATGGGACTCGAAGGAGAGCACCATGTCGAACCACACGCCCAAGTTTTTAACCTTGACATAGTCATCAATTTTCAAGATGAAATTTTGGGACAAGTATGGCTTTGGAACAAAGATTCTAAAGGACAAGATGGAGTTATTGGACTGTAGCAAGTTTAACAAGTTCATTTATACCAGTGACATCACATCACCCCACCAACAAACACCTCAGTGACTTCAAGCGTAGGCTTAGCCTCTCTCCTTATATATTTGTATTTGACTGGTGTTTTTAAATCTGTTCCAGAATCGACTGGATGAGGCTATTGTTGTGTTTGAGCGAGGACTGAAAAGGGGCGATCAATTATCTTCCTTCAACTACCAGCTGGCTATGTGCTACAAGCAGAAGAAAATTGCTGAACAGTGCTGCGGGCCCTTCAGCAACACAGGTACACAGAAATATACAACATGTTATCCTTTAATCAACACAACTCAAATCATCCTTTAATGCTCCACAGAAGAGGAGGGTAAGTGGAGGCGTTGCTGTATTAGTCACCTTGAAGAAGCTGTGGAGATGAAACCATCCTTTGTCCGGGTGTTGGCTGAACTGGCACTGTTGTACGCAGAGGAAGGGGATTTGAGCAGGTGCTTGTCTAAACAAAGCTGCACGATTTCCTCCTTTATTTCCTCTGGGTGTAAATTCCTAAACATCTCGTTGTTTCTCAGGGCTGAGGAGACTTTCAAGCACTGCTTGGAGAAGTTACCAGAGTTGAAGGAGAAAAGGGTTTGTCTGATTATCCATCAGTACTACGGTGACTTTCTTCATTATCACATAAAAAATGAGGCTCAAGCCATCGCTCACTATAAAGAGGTAAGTTTCTAGGTGCCAGACATGCCAGCTGCATGTACAGTGTTACACATGCAGCTGCCTCTTAATGTTCCATGGTTCATCTGAGGATGGACCGATCCAAAATACAGTATTGGTATCAGTGCGATGCTGATGCTGACCTAAATTACTGGACCGGATATTGGGTAGAAATTAAAAATGTAGCCCGATCCATCAAATATCACAAGAGCACCTCACAAAACTTGTGACATGGTGTTACCCAGGTGGTCCCCTTATCATGTTGGAGCAGTTTGCGTCACGTGATAGAGTGACTGTTGTGTACAAGACCTGTCGGCGGTCTGGAGTCACTTCACACTGAAAGCATTTGGAGCCTCGTTACGTGCTGACAAACCAGCATTTCATCTCCAAGCAAGCTATCCCAGAAAAATAAAGCAAGTGTCTAAGTTCATCTCTGAATGTTTGTAAAGCATTCCCACGTTAAGCTTAACAACCGATATATGAAGCTGGGACATCTGTCATTGCTAAGTCTGACCGTACAATGGATAGACTCGAGTTTTACTTTGAAAAGAACTGTGTTGCAGGCTAAACAGTTCTGTGGTTCGAAAGAAAAACAACAACAACAAAACAATGAAAACACTTTTTTTCATACGTGTTAAGTTTTGTATAGAAATTGCACAAAATTCAATCTCAGGTAAATGTGACAGAAACAGCTCACACTGACATCCATCTTGATAGAAGATCAGTGTCATGAAGCCGTGTTTGCATTGATTTGCACTGCTTTCCACTCTGGATGTCTATGTATGTTCAGTTTTAAGTACAAAAGGGTCCATTCTACAACCTGTTTTATTTTTTTAAGTTGTTCAATTATTTTGTGCTGATATTGCGCTTCTTTTTTTTTCAGAACCAAAGAGTTGTTGAAATCTACATAAAATTGCATTTAAATTACTTTTCAATATTACTTTAAATACTTTAAAGTTCTGCTAAAAGTTTAAGTAAAAAGATCAGTATTGCTGATCTGAAGTATTTTGGGTGCAGTGTTTTTTGCATCCAAATACAATATAATAGCTTTAGTGTTTTGGCTTTTTAAACATGAGTATGAACTTATACAAAATGTAGCAAATATTAAAAAAACAAAACAATTTTATTGATTTTAAAATAGACAATATCGGATTCATATCGGTTTCAGCAGATTTTCAAATTTATATCGGTATCGGACTTAAAACAAGAGGTATCGTGCCATCATCATCTCTAGTTTCAACCCAAGAAGAACAATGAAAGAAGAAAAACTAACAGGCCTTGTTTGGAGGGTGGAGGTGTCGGGGCAGTAATGTGAAACATTTCACCGCTTACATCCACCACATGACCTTAGTATGGATGGATTTATCTTCCTGATAGTTTTCTGCTGTTTTCTCTCTGCAGGGGCTGCTGATACCACTGAAAAAATATAATTGGAGACAGTGTGCTAAGGTGAGCACTAGAGACATAACAAAGGTTACGTGTTATATAAACTCAGTGTTAATACTAACTCATGGGATGTGAGCAAAACCTCATATCAAAGCTCCCATGATGTAAATGTTTTGTTCAATACCACCTACTTGTGCTCCTGAGGACTGTTTTCACTGTTTTCAACTTCATTTTTGAAAACTACTGGTGACTGTCAGCTGTTCTGTCTGTCACTAGGTCATGTGAGGAGATGTGGCATCAGTCCCATTTTGGATGGTGCACCTGTCATTTCTAAAAATCTTGTAAAATTGTAAAACATTGGGTTTTTTTTTAATTAAAGCATAATGTAATGTTTTCTCCCACTAAAAACGTTACATCCAGATGAAGAGACTCTACTTCTTTGGAACATAAATTAGTATTTCATTGTTCCTCTGTTTTTCCTGCAGGAACTGAAGCAGATCGCTGACAGGCGTCTGGCAAAGAATTGGGGTGATGGTGAAGCTCTCGCTCTGCTGGGTCAGGTGGCCAGAGCTGAGGGCGACAGGAAGAGAGCTGCTTTTTTTTATGAGAAAGCTCTGAACTGTGACAAGGACAATGAAGAGTACCTGTCTGCTCTGTGCGAGCTGCGCCTGGAGCTGCAGTGATCATCCTCTGATTAATCAGGATCACTGCAAAAACTGGCTATAACTAACTTACAATCTTACAAGGAGCCAAAAGGTATTTTAATTTTGTTTTGGGAGTGACACATTCAGAGAGAGCAGGATGGAATTCATCTTTTACAATATGTATTTTATCTCTTAGCTTCTAAATCATAAAATGTGTTATTTAATTGCATATTAGGTTAATCGATATCACCAAGGCACTGAGATGATGCACTTGTGAATGCTTGTCGGTCCCTCTGTGTAGCACCGTGCCTCTCGCCTTATGGCAGCTGTGATAAACCCTGAACTGGAAAAGCAGAGGATGGAGGGACATTAGTACACATTTAAATTAGTATTTCTTTCTCCTTTTGCAGTTTCATGTGATCGTGTGTGGTGTAAATGCTTTGTCTTGGTCCTTTAATATAATTCTTGCTCAGTTGCTCTTGTTTTAAGATATTTTCCCTTAAAGTGACAAAGGAGTACAGATATTTTGAGTTTACTTGACATAATTTCTGATGATTTCTCACTTCAATAAATGCAAGACTTTGGAAGTAATGATGTAGAAATACTTAGTGTAACAGTGTTTATGCATATTAAACAGTAACATGAGTACTTCCATATTCTCTCACACAGTTTTCCTCCTACTGATTAAAAATGGCAGCAATCTGTATTTTCACATGGGGCAACTTTGATATATGATCACAGAACAAAACATTTCTGGGGAGTTTTGGATGATGTGTGGAGCAGTAAAGTTGTGGATTCTACTGTAATTTTGAGCTACAGATTTAATTGAAAACATGTCAGTATAACAGACAGTGAGTTGTCTGTATGAACCTTATAACTGATGTTAGATTTAAATAATTTAAAATAGTTCATGATAGCTAAAACATGATCAGCTGGTGCTCATTGAGTGTGCTGTTAGGGCCGGGTTGAACTTCAACATTTCTACTTCAGACTTTGTTGTTTTTCTGCTCTTCAGTTTGAGCTGAACCACTTTGACCCTGTTGCTGTGTCCATGTATCATCTGGATAAATTTGTAGTTGGCACAGATTTCCATTCAAAGTGCTGACTGCCAAACTTTTATCCGTGCCTGGTTTTTATCCGGAGGAAAAGTGTTGAATGACTCCCTCACTTTCAGTCAGAGGTTAGCCACTTTCAGTGGAATGTGGAAACACAGATAAGACAGGAAAGACAATAAAATGGAAGAAATTAAATATGGAGTGAAACATTTGTGGTTCTGTTACAGCAAACAAAGAATTTCCTCTTTAAGAAGACTTAACGTGTTATGAAGAGAATCAAGGTGAACTCCATATAATGCAGCTGCTGACTGTTCACTGACCAACAGGAACAGTGCCTCACTTCACTTGTGCTTGCCATCATCTCTATATGCAGTATAAGATAATGCATATGTAATTTTTTATTTTTGGTTATACATCTTGGAGAAACATTGTCAAGTGTTGCACAGTTTTTAAGAGAATTGTATTTAAAAAACAAGAACGACATGTTCTGATATCACAGGTTTAGGACTGGAGACATCAGAGGGTAAAAACAGCTGCTGATAATTTACTGTCAAAGTTCAAGAGGATGCACGTAAGAAAACTAACCTTTATGATAAAAAACAAAGTTAGGAGAACTCAAATTAAAGTTTAAGTGAAGAAATTTATAGACAACACTTTCTTTTTTTATTCTAAACATGTTTTTTTTCTGTAGAACATAATTAATGATGATTAATTTATGAGAATAAGAGAATAAAATGTCCACCTTTCAACTACAGCCAGGAGGTGGCAGCACATCCTTTATCCTCACTTTCTACTCTACTACATGTGCCACTGCTCTTATCTCAGTCTACAAGGACGATTGATTATAATGTAGAGGACAGAGTGTGTACAGTGACACACAGTCATAAAGATAAATGGAACGACTAGTAAGTAAAGATATTAGGCATAAAAACACAGAGAAACCTGCAACACATCGTTATTGTGTTATTGTACACAAACAGGAATCCATATACAACACAAGCAAGAACGACATTCAAATAACCACAAAACTACTGAGAATTTTCACTCACAGCTGTAAAGTGACTCTACACAATGCTCCTCTTTCTCTTTTTGTTTTTCTGTGCTGATGTCATTATACACTAACAAAACAATGGCTACAGATCATACTCGTACTTGTATTCACTCTCTCTGTGTCACTCTTCAGACACTGTGAAAACTAAAGAACACAAAAGTTAGCAACGTGTGGACATGTTAGTGTCAGTGCCAGGCCACAGCAATGGTTTCTGCTCAAGCAGCATTAAGATTGTGTCCCTGAGTGGACATTAAGGGTTCTCAGGTGCTGAACCCGCTGCGCTCTGGCAGAAAGCACCATCCTGGGTTCTAAATGCACTCAGAACAGCACGCAGCAACACCACACATGAGTGGGCGGAGGGAGGTATAGGGTATAGGTTCTCTGCTCGCCATTCGGGGTGGGGGGCCGGGAGAAGGAGTTGGCCATCTGGTCGGGGTCTGGGATGCTGGGCCTCTCTGCTACTGCGGGACTGGCGGAAACCTGCTCGTCTCCATCGCAGGGCAAAGGGCACCATCTCCTGGGTCTGGGGCAGATTGCCCCTCTGGGGGTGATGGTTCCTGGCCTGGGGGTATAGAGTATGTTTTGGGAGTGTTAGTGTATGTATGTATGTTCTGTTTGTCTCCATGTTGGGCAAGTGTAACTGCATATGAGTGCATGAGGATGGGTGTGGTGGCATCAGCCACACATGGGTAAAATCAGTCCATACCCCCGCCGTGCCTCCACTGCTGTCCCAAATGACTGGCAGTTCAGACAGGTGATACGTTGTGATCTGACCCTCCTCCAGAGCTTTGTGGTCTTGGCAGTTTGTGATACAGACACACAGAATAACATCAATAGAAGTGAGTATACCAAACCACCTCAGCTGCTGCAGAAAGACGAGCTGCTGTCTTGTTGTTTTTGTGATCACATCTATGTGATCAAGGGTTAATATACATTTAAATACTATAAATAAATTACTTGTGAAATCAGTACCTCAGATCTGAGTAAAGGGCCTGTTCTTCTACCTCACTTGACTTTCAAACGTGGATGCAAAGCTTCTGCTGTCTTGTTACTTGTGTACACTTTCTCTGTGTTTCCTGTTTAATTTACTCTCTGATTCAGGATTCTGTGCCAAGATGAGATCACAGCAAACAATTATAAATTAAGCTGTTTGGGATTCAGGAGCTTTCATTGATTATTATAAGTTATAATGAATTTTTCAATAAAGAAAAATGCGAGAAAAAGAAAGTAAAACATTAAGTTTTGTTTTATAAGAACGAAGTTTGTGTGTGTGTGTGTGTGTGGGGGGGGGGGGGGGTTCAGTTGGGAAAGTTTTCGAAAGTCGGAAATCAGCTGTGAAGCTAATGCGAACTCACGTCATGTTACAGGAAACAGTCCTCCTCTTCCTCAGAGTACACACAATGGCGTGTCCAGCGGGGTGGCCCCAACCAGACTGGCCACCCCAGGTGCCACCCCAAAGGCAAAACAATAAAATTCAATCAAATATCAAATGTCCGATTATGTTTTCACGGTGACGCTCAGATATCCGAGTGTAAGTGAATGCAGCATCGGCTTCCGCGCTATGTGCATCACGTTAGCAAAGGTAGGAGAGCCAAGCGCGAAAGATGGCACTGCAGGAAACAATTTTTCGGTGAAAGAAAATGACAGAATAAATGTCCCGGTAAGTAATATCAAGTTTGTTGAGTTTAGTAAACTTCGGTAAAATTAGAATACCAAGGAAAAAATAACACGTAAAGAATTATTGCAGCTGTGGAATATTTCAGACAGTATGCTACTGAGGGCAGCTAACATAAGAGTTATGAGTTATAAGATATAATCTAAGTCGTAACATTGCTGTATGGAGCTGCAAATTTGGTTGCAGGTTAACATAGCTGGACTGGCCATCGGGCATACCGGGCATATCCCCGGTGACTTATTTTTTATTTTTTTTTGTAAAGGCATGAACAATGAGAGGTGGTGGATTGGCCAGATGCAGGTCGATGTGTAGAAATAACTCCGTTGTTTGGTGGTGGCTATGACGGGGCTTCCACAGAGGCAACAGGTGGATGAGGGAAGGGGAGGCAGGAGGAGAGACCCGAGGCAGCCGCCAGTCCGAGTGTCAGGTGAACTGAACTTCAGGTAAGAAGTTATGACCTGCAGTCTATCTGGGTCAGATATAAACCAAGTTTAGGTGGAGTTTATTTTCATGTTGCTGACTTTTTACTGTCAGTTGCAATAACTCATACTGCGTTCTAGCCAGTTTGACGGAGTTTTTATACAGCTGGGTGGGTGCTATGATGTTACTGATAGTGAACTTTATTTTATTCATAAGGTTAGTAGAGTTGCCAACGGCTCCTTAAAAAAATGGAATGGTCCCTCATTCAGAGAAAATATTACACGTTTCGTATTGAGCTGAGAAGAGACGCAGTTTGTCCCGGACTTTAGCTAGAATGGAAAAAGACACAAAGCTGGAGTTATTCTGTCGTTACGCTGCACAGCTGCCTCTTCTCTCATTCTCTCCCCCTCCCTCTCCTGTTGCTACTTCAATCATGAAACTGATCAATGATCAGCTGATCGGCTTTTCTCTCTTGTTTGTTTATCGCCCACTCTGTGCCAGAAAGAGGAAACCAGCAGATGTCGCGCTAAACAACAGCAGCACGTTTAAGCTTGATCAGCTGTTGTTAGAATTTATTTAATATTAATTTCTAGTATCAGCTGATGTTTGCTGGAGCCACAGCTGTAAAGCTGCTGGTCATGATGTCTGTTTAGATATGTGGTGAGAGGGAAACATGAAGATGAAACCAGGAGATGTCCTTACTGAACCATCAGAGCTGAACAGGTGATGGAGAAACAGGTTTACCTTTTAGGTGACATGAATGAGTTGAAGTTATCAACTGTTTCTGAGAGACAAATAACCCCAGGATCCTTTTTTATGTAGCTGACAGCTGGTAACTGTGCAGGGGCGGGTCTAGCAAAGTTTTGCCAGGGGGCCAGGTAGGGCATTAACAGGGAAAGGCACAAAGAAATACTTTTCTTTCTTATTCTCATTTAAAATACCTAGCTTTTATTAAATAATTATCTAAATCTTACAACCAAAGTTTTTATCTGACGTAAAATGTATAGAAATCATACATATACCAACAAGACTGTACATCACTGTCACAACAGGGTTTGTTTTCATTCAAAGGCTTTATGGCTTTAATACCTGGTGGGCCGGTCTGTAGTCAAAATGCCCGATTTTCTGTCCCAGTCCAGCCCTGCAGGTTAATACTGGCAGTGTCACCATGCCAGCTGACTGTATTTCATCATCAGCCAGTGTTGTTCTTGATCAATATTACCAAAGTTTACCATAAGGCAGCATAGAAAGTATTTACTTGCTTTCAGGTTTTATTCAAATGTTAGTCTTTTCAGTTGTTTCCCCACTTTTTTCCTGTTTCAAAATCAAACACCAGTTTGTGAGAAGATTATCTTCTTTTTTTAACAGGCAGATAAAGTTTTACATTGGAACTGGCTAATTTGTCAATTGTTTGTTACAAATGTTCGTATTTTAATATTCAAAAATGTTTTTGCCCAAAACATATGTGCACTACATGTCAGTAAAAATACTATGCAAATATTGATGTCCTTGAATGCTGAGTAAACACTGACAAAGCACTGATTGTATCTCTTGTACTTTATCAACGCAGTATCTAAAAACTTTGCACCGTAGTGGTTAAAATC